AAAAAAAAAAAAAAAAAAAAAAAGCCTATCAATGGGTAAACCACTCAGAAACAAAGGATTCTAGTCTGAAATTTGCCTTATGTGTCAACCTCATGTAAATTCAATCTAAATCAGAATTCCAGGATGTGGAATGAGATTTACATCAAATTATGGCTTAAATTTTAAAGCTTTAAAACATTTAATCCACAAAGCAAACATGACACAGTAAAGACAGTTACAATAGCTAATGTGTAACTTGAAATTAAAATAAAAACCAGTGTGGTTACCAATCTTTTCAATTTGGTTTAAAATGGGTTTTTCTAGGGGCGTCTGGGTGGCTCAGTCAGTTGAGCATCTGCCTTCGGCTCAGGTCATGATCTCAGGATCCTGGGATCAAGCCCTGCATCAGACTCCCTGCTTGGCATGGAATCTGCTTCTCCCCCTCTGCCATTCTCCCCGACTCGTGCTCTCTCTCAAATAAATAAATAAAATATTTTAAAAATTAAAAAGAAATAAAATGGATTTGTCTAAAACTGCTGATTCAATTCTATCCATCAGCCCCAAACTTCAACAGTTAAAAGTAAATAAAACTTTTAACGTTTTTTTACTCACCTAAAAAGTCAATGAAGACTCAGGCCAAGAAAGGTATAATATCATGACAGGATCAAAGGCACCCACTTTAGCTTTGTATTCTTGCTATCAAGGTGGCCAAGAAATCAAGCCTTGGGATTTAAGGATTTTCGATATAGGAAAAGCTCGTGTGACCAATTTCAAGGGATTAAACAGCAATATGCGAAGTCAACAGCCATAGTCATCAATTTTCTGATGAGCCCCAAGTACGGCATCATACTGCATTTTCTAACACTAAATAATTTATGAACCTACTGGGGTTTGGTTCGTGAACTCACCTATTCTTTTTTTTTTTTATGAACTCACCTATTCTTTACGACTTCCAAGATCATGGTTGAAACACAAGACCTATGAGGCACTAGATTCTGAAGAAATTTTGAGCCTTGGAGAAGCTGAAGATCCTTAAAGCTTTTTACAACTGAAGCTTTTAAAAGGTCAAACACCTAATATAAGGAAAGAAACAGGAAAATGAAGCAAAAAGTGATAGCCCATGCAACAGAATCTTAACTCTGTTAACTGTTCTTATTTGCTGCCATACACTCGCATTCCTAAGACAGCTGTTTTACTAGATGAGTATGATACAAAAATCGTGACTTTCAGTGGGCACTTAAGACTTGAAGACAGGCAGGCATTCCTTAAGAGAGAAAAAGGGCAGGAGCGCCTGGGTGGCTCAGTTGGTTAAGTGTCCAACTCTTGATTTTGGCTCAGGTCATGGTCTCAGGGTTGTGAGATCGAGCCCCACATCGGGCTCCACGCCCAGCATGGAGTCGGCTTAAGATTCTCTTGCTCTGTGGCACCTGGGTGGCTCAGTCAGTTAAGCATCTGCCTTCGGTCCAGGTCATGATCCCAGGGTCCTGAGATCGAGCCCCCATCGGGCTCCCTGCTCAGCGGGGATTCTGCTTCTTCCTCACCCGCTGCTCCTCTTCCTATTTGTGCTTTTTCTCACTCTTGCTCTCAAATAAATAAAATCTTAAAAAAAAGATTCTCTCCCTCTCCCTACCCCCTCATTCTCTAAAAAAAGAAAAAAAAAAAAAAGAGAGAGAGAGAGAAGAAAAGGGCTAACATCAATGTTAATATTACCCACAATCAGGGAACACATATGAGAAAAAACGGTAAAGGATTTTATATTTCCATCCTTACAACTACCTTGTTCTCATTAATTTCAACTCAATCAGGGATAATTTCTTAGAAAACTGCAACATAATAAAACTGCTGGTGAATTCCCAGCTAAACTTCCCATTCTTGCCACCTGGACTGTGTGGTATGTTTCTACCCTTCTTCCCACTCACCATCTGGCTTACCACACCATAGGAAGTAAAGACATACACGAAGTACCTGAACGAGTCTCCAGGCAGCCCCCAGAAAACAGCATGGGCCTACATGCCTTACAGAGGAATTTCCTGCTAGCAGAATGGGCTAAAAAAGGGCTCTTGTGCTCTTTATCAACTACAGAACCAAAAGGTCATTAATAAATACCTGTTCCTCAAATCTTTGTATTCTTGTTACAGAGAGCAGGAGGGCAATGCTGAAGGGACATATGTTATTACTGAAATCTCCTTGTTGTCCTGCCTACAGAGAAACCAAAAAGGAGTCATTATTTACATCTTAAAAGTATAACATAACCTATTGAAAACAGGTCCGTAAATGGATCAAAACTTAACACTTAAGACCTAAAACTATAAAACTTAAACATAAAACATACTGGAAAATCTTTAAAACCTTGGATGAGGCAAAGATTACTCAGATATAATACCAAAACCATAATTTATACAAGAAAAAATTGGTAAATTGGACTTCATAAAAATTCAAACATTTGTGCTTCAAAAGACACCATTAAGAAGATAGAAAGATGAGCCACAGACTGGAAGAAATACTTGCTAATTATATACATGATAAAGGACTTATACTCAGAATATATAAAGAATTCCTAATACTCAGTAAGACATGCAATCAAAAAAAGGGCAAAAGATTTAAAGAGACATTTCCCCAGAGAAGATATCAGAACAGCTAATCAGCACATGAAAAAGTGCTCAATTATCAATCATTAAGGGACTGAAAAGCAAAACCTCAGTGAAATACTGTTTCAAACACACTGAAACAGCTATGATAAAAAAGACGGACAATAACAAATGTTGGTGAGGATGTAGAGAAACGAACCCTCATACAGTGCTGGTGGGAATGTAAAATGATGTAGCCACTTTGGTAGTTTCTTAAAAATGTAAATATACATTTATCACATAACGCAGAAATTCCACTTGTAGGTATCTATCTAAGAGAAGTGAAACATATGTCCACACAAAGACCTGCATGTGAATGTTCATAACAGTATTATTCATAATAGCCCCCAAGTGGAAACAATTCAAATGTCCATCAACTGGTGAACAGCTAAACCAACTGATTGATCCACACAGTGGAATACTATTAAACAAGAAAAAAGAATGAAATACTGACATGCGCTACAACACATGGATAACTTTGAAAACATCATGCTAAATGAAAGAAGCCATACACAAAAGATCACATATTGTATAATTCCATTTATATGAACTGTCTAGCAAAGGTAAATTTACAGAGACAGTAGATGAGTGGTTGCCTGGGCCTGGGAATGTGAATTTACTATAAATGGGCATGAGGGATTTTACAGGGTGATGAAAATGTTCTAAACCTGGATTATGGTGATGGTTGCACAACGAGGTAAGCTTATGAAAAATCACTCAACTGTAAAAGTGGATAAATTTTATGTTATGTAAATTTTATCTCAGAGAAGGACAAATACCGTATGATTGCACTCATATATGGAATTTAAGAAACAAAACAGATGAACATAAGGGAAGGGAAGGAAAAATAAAATAAGATGAAAACAGAGAGGGAGGCAAACCATAAGAGACTCTTAACTCTAGGAAACAAATGATGCTGGAGGGGAAGTGGGTGGGGGGATGGGGTAACTGGGTGATGGGCATTAAGGAGGGCAGTTGATGTAATGAGCACTGGGTGTCATATGCAACTGATGAATCACTAAATTCTACCTCTGAAACTAATAATACACTATATGTTAACTGAATTGAATTTAAATAAAAAAAATTATATCTCAATAAAGTTTAAAAAATAGGTCTTTGAGGCCTAAAAGAAATGATACCCAAAAGACAATAAATAAATAATAAATTAAAAAAAAAAACCAACAAACAAAAATAATAGTGGAATAGATCAAGATATACAAAACTGGGGGTGCCTGGGTGGCTCAGTTGTTAAGCATCTGCCTTCGGCTCAGGTCATGATCCCAGGGTCCTGGGATCCAGCCGCGCATCGGGCTCCCTGCTCCGCGGAAAGCCTGCTTCTCCCTCTCCCACCCCCCCCGCTTGTATTCCCTCTCTCGCTGTGTCTCTGTCAAATAAATAAATAAAATCTTTAAAGAAATACTAAACTGGTGGGGCGCCTGGGTGGCTCAGTCGTTAAGCGTCTGCCTTCAACTCAGGTCATGATCCCAGGGTCCTGGGATCAAGCCCTCATCAGACTCTCTGCTCAGCAGGGAGTCAGCTTCTCTGCCCCCCCCCAATGCTTTCGAGCACGTGGGCTCTCTCTCTCTCTGAAATAAAATCTTAAAAATACAAAACTCGTTCTTTGAAAAGATCAATAATGTAGTTACTATAAACCTAAATAAAAAGAAGACTGAACAGATACAGAGGAGATCAAGAAGCTTTAAAGTTGAGCTCCACATCATGATCTTTAAATATCCTTTCCTACAAAAGGGACCCAGGGCTCCTTGGAGAAATGGTATCCATATGGGGCAAACCAAGTACAAGGAGAGCCTTGGATAGCAGTGTTCAAAGGGTCATGTCAGAAGGACTCAAGAGCCAACTCGGAGGATCCAAGTGGCCAAATACGGGTCATTTGGAGTAATGAATAATGAATATAAGGAATTAAAAAAGGTTAGTTGGTGCATAACAATATTCAAAAAAATAGGAGGGGGAGGCTTTTTTTACGGAAGCCAGCTAATAATAATGTAGAAGGAATAACAGACTTAGAAAATTTTTTATCTTAGTTCTACCATTTTGCAACTCCCAGTATAGTTACTGATTAAGGCTAAGAATAGTCAGTAGATGGGAAAATGAAAACCACTGTGTGAAAGGTTGCTGAGGAAAAGGATTTTCACATGATCTAAATTATGAGCCCACGGATTATTTTCTAATTACAAAAGGAAACATAGATCTTTGCAAATGAAGAAAAACGATGGTCACTGTCTTAACCAAAAGAAAAAACAGTCCTTTATCTGTACAATACTATTCTTTAAAAGAGCTCAAAACACTTCTAATTTTAATCTTACTACTTCACAAATATTTAATGATGAATGACTTAGTTTCACAAAACTCCGTAATATACTACTAGAAATAGGCACTATGCCAATTCTTAAATGGAGAAACAGAGGTCAGAAACAGATGACGGAGTTATGATTAAATGTTAAGTTTCCTGAATAGTCCTCATCTTTTTTTTCTTTTTAAACACCCAAACATTTAAGCATGGTTTTAGAATGGAACTTGCTTAAGAATGTGGTGACATGTATTTTCTACTTTCAAAGTAAAAGGCATCCTCTAGATCTAGGGCCACTGTACAATGCTTCCCCTCCGTCTCCTGTCATTAACGGGCATCAGAGAGGCCTGAGTTGAAACACCCGTTTCATAAAGAGCTCCTGGGTCACCGTAGGAGTCCGGGGCTACCTTTAGGTGTTTCAGGAGTTCTCTGCCTAGTTCACAGTCCAGTTTGATGGCAAACACGATGTGTAGAATAATGGTGCCTTCCACATGACGCAGTTCACCTGATGGCACGGTAACAAGATCCAACAGCCTACAAGATTCAACAGAAAGGTATGAGCTACAGTTTGAGCAAGAGACAAGAGTGCAGATACTCAGATGAACTCAAGCTGAACTCATACCATCACTGGAGGCAGGTAGTGTAAATTCTACTGCCTCATTCCTTGCTTCTTTGTAACAAAACTTCCTGAAAGCATGAATTGTCTATTATCATTAATTCCACTTCTTTCCATGTTCTCAGTTAAATCCAATTCAACCAGGCTTCTGTCTCCTCCCTACCCACTCCCCTCAATGCCATTTGACTATTCTTCCAAGGGTTATAAATGACCTCTATGTTGCCAAAACCAATAATCAAGTCCCACCTTAATACCCAGCAGATATGACACAATTGACCACTTCCTTCTTGAAACACTCTCTTCTCTTCTGAGGTACTGTCACTGAATTCTTCTCCAATTTTTCTTTCTTTTTTGGGGGGGGGAGGGCTGGCTCATCCTCCCTTTAAATGGTGGAATGCCTCTAAGCTCAGTCTTGGGTTTCTTTTTCTTCACAATTTCCCTAGGATTCCCTATCCAGTCCCATGGTTTTAGTTCTTTCCAATCTCTTATCTCCAGTCCTGACCTCTCCCTCTAGCTCTAGACTGTCTGCTTAATACCTCCATATGGGATGCTAATATACCTCTCAAACTTAACATGGTTAAAACTGAGCTTATTTTGTCCTACACCTGCTTTTCTATCAGTCTTTCCTAACTCAGTATAAAAGACCACCTACTAATCATTTGCTCAAGCCACATAACAAAAAGCTACCCTACAGATGTGGTAGGCTGCAATCAGATTAACAGCATGAGTCCTGCAGCCAAGCTGCCCTGATCAAAATCTCAGCTCCACTGCTATATAACCTTGGGATATTCCTTAATTTCTCTGTGCCTCAGTTTCCACATGCATAAAGTAGAGGCAAAATAGGGTAGTTGTGAGGTTTACGTGCTTAGAACAGCACCTGGCACAGGTAAACACTCTACACATACTTGCTTTAGAAAAAATCTTTTTCAGACATGCCAAGCTGTGTCCTGCGTTCGTACTAACTATTCCACTAACTGAGAATGTTCTTTTCCCTGATCTGCATATAGTAGTTCTTACCATTCAGGCTTTAGTTAAAGTAGCACCCTCTCTAAGAGGTTCTCCTTGACCACCCACTCTAAAGTAGCTACACTGTCACTATCACGTTATTTGAGTTATCTGCATAGCACTTTCTAATATTTTTCTTATTTATTTTCTGTTCTCTTCTCACCAGTATCTAAACTCTGAGAGCAGGGACCTTGTCTGACTGGTTCATCACTATAGTCCCAGGGCCAAAGAGTTCCTGGCACAGAGTAGACACTTCATAAACAGCTTATAAACTCACACCTTACACAACAATTATGGCTATTCTCCTGGAGAGCTACACATGAGGGAGGTGAAGAGGATGCTTTAGTACCGAGCAGCTCAGAGAGGACTAGGGAAGTTCTGTGCTAAGGTGAAGGCAGGGACTGAAAGGTTAATTAACAAGGAAGTAAAACACACGTAAGAAGATACATCTGTCAAAATGATTTTATTTCTGTACTGTACTACTCACTCATCACCACTCTGTTCCTCATTGTGATGCTTATCTAGCTTGTTGAAGAAAGTTATGATTCCTTCCAAAGCTCTCCTCCTGTTTCCCTGAAAAAATACAGAATAGGTAAGGTCTCACCATAAAGATCAAGATCACCAAGTTGAACTTAAAGTACTTTTCAGCTTAGAGGATTCTCATATAGGAACCTAAACAGGTAAATTACAACCTAAAGCCACACTAAGCATTTACAGAACACTTTTTCATGTTGAGATTGGGTTTGAAATGCATCTTAGTGTCAGACTTAAGTTAAGGGACTGATAGTCCACCCTTTTGTGAGATCTTTATCCCTTCTGCTTCCCCCCGCACGCCGCCCCCCCCCCCCACAGACTGTGGGAGTACAAGAGTCATGTATGCTTTCCTTGGCTGAGGAGTATGACCCTTTTATCCATCATATCATCAGACATGAAATGAAAGCATCTATGCCTTAGTATGTAAATCAAGAGTATGAATAAGGGGAATGGCCCTAACTGATCATCTGATCATTCCACTGAAGTTTAATATATATATATATATATATATTTTTTTTATACCTTTGAGGAGAGAACCAGAAGCTGATAGACCAGAGGTGGTATTTCTTGAAGATTCAACTTGGAGAACATCCTCAACACTTTTTCCACCACAAATTCCACCTCTTCTGCAGTCAGAGGGACATCCCTGTGAATCAAAGACTCTCAAGGCCAGAGCTATGGTCTAATTCGGGAGATATTAGAATATTATAACTGCCTCTTTGGTTTTTATCTAACAGAGAACCTTAAAGGGGGCCAAAGCCTTACATAAGCAAAGTCATATTGGAAAAAAATCATAGTTTATATAGTTATAGTTTAAATAATACAGTTTAAATATAGTTCATAGTTATAGTTTAAATAAGCAATTAAAGTAAAAAGGAGGGGAGAAAATCCTGTAACAGAAAAGAGAGGCACCAATACTCTTACTTGGAGGACAGTAGTGTTTGAGCTTGCTAAATTTCAATTTCTAGCAGGCAAGTTCACACAGCAGGGTAAAACGAGGAAAGGGAATAATGATGCTTACTTGAACATGGAGGTGAGTTGGATTACATATTGCTGATCCCATCTGGTTAAAGAAAAGGACAAAGAATATCTCAATTTAACTTATTTGCGTATTACTTTGTAAAATCAATAAGGAGGGAAAAAATTAAGGCCATTTCAAGTTTGATTTGGTACCACTGGAAAACAAGATCAAAGAATCAATGAAATAATAGCTCTTAACCTATAAAACTGCAAAAATCAAAGTCTGATGATATTCAATGCTGGGGATTTTGGGAAACAAATGCTCTCCACATACTATTTTATTTTTTATTTTTTTAAAGATTTTATTTATTTATTCATGAGAGACAGAGAGAGGTAGAGGGAGAAGCAGGCTCCCAAGGAGCAGGGAGCCCGATGTGGGACTCGA